GCGCGGGGGGTCGCTCCGGGCTGTTTTGGTGGTGGGGGGGGGGGGGGGTGGGGGGGGATGCTGTATGTGTTGGGGTGGATTGGTGGAGACAGTGATAAATTACACACTGGCTACGTTACTTTTTTCAACCTGTTTGTATCTCAAATCAGGCCGAGCACGCTCACACAGCCTCACAAAAACACATTAGTGCTACCCAACCCATCATTATCAATCACTTAGCTTCACTGACATGCTGCCCAGTAGAAACACCTCTAAATTTGTCCACAAGGACAACACTCCACGACCGTGGCTCGGGAAAGAAAGGACACCAATGCAAATAGTGTCCAAGTGTTTGACGGAGTGCTTTGTTTGTTGGAGAGTGAAGAAGATAAACAGTAGGAGGTGATGAGATAGGGTCAAAGCCTCTCACGAGTAACGGATCCACTTAATGGACACTTGTAAACCTCAGAAGCGCAAAGTAGATGCGATGCACAGGTTGTTGTAAGTAAATAATGGACACCAACAGGTTTGACTCTGCTGGAAATCATTACCAACTCAAGTAGTTATACACAAAAAGATAAATACATTTTCAAAAAATACATTCAGATAACAGGTAGTTCTTTTTGATTCACCCTGATAAGGTCACAGTGATAAAAATGATAAATATAATTTATGTTGTCATCGGTTCTTATTGAGGCATTAGACCTGCTAAAACAGGAAGAGTGGGGCAGAATATGTAAATCTGCAGGCTCGGCTCGTGTTAAAAAATAAATAAAAATAAAGCCTATGTTTGCACGACTTTATTCTCTATTGGTTTGATGTGGTATAGAGGTTTGGTGCAAAAATCGGGAAAATACAGGTCATAAGACATAAACAAGAGGAATGAAGAAAACCAGATGTAGAGAAGAGTGAGTTATTGCCTATACATGTTCATATAGACGTAGATATTACAGCGTAAAAACAACATTTTACCATTAAGCAACAATTTTATGTATCCAAGATATAATATATGATAGGATATTTTATGTGCATCTCAAGCAGAATCATAAGTCCCTCATAATCTGGGCACAAAAAAATATCTCTATTTGGACCTGATGGATATATGTGTATATTAGCTTTTTTTTTTTCCACAGGACTTCGCTGGAATACACTTACACTTGATGCGATTCAACATGAACTGATATTATGTAACAAAAACAAAGCAGAGTTTTTATGACCCAGTTCCACATTAGTGCGATGCGATGAAGCAGAAATGCAAATGTTCAGCAAATGGAGGTCATAACACGCACAGGAGGCAAATAAAAAGGTGAAGCCAGTCAGAGAGAGGAGTCATTTACGCAGTATCACTTGATATCTGGCACTCCCACTTCATATCAACTGGTGTGATGGTATCTAGCAGTTAGCTCAACAAATAGCCATATCTATTAGCAGGAGACTATAGTGGGAGGCTGTTCAGCTGATGGATAGTTGGGACATTATTGCCAGAAGAAATGCAGCAATGCACTGGCTATAAAGTCAAAGAACAAGGCTTTGACAGCCAAACATAAACATGGAGCGAATCAATGCAAGTTTCTTAGTATTGATTCACAGACATTTTAAACGGATGAAAACGTGTTTTATACATTGATCAGCTCTCCATAGGGGACTATGGGTAGGTAGATGGACGGATGGATGAATGGATGGATGAATGAATGGATGGATGGATAGATGATGATTGATGGATGGATGTCTGAAACCTGATCTAAACTGTGACTGTTGAACACCTAATTCTGGGGTTTATATTTGAAATTACAATATTTGGAATTAAGGATTCCATCTTAGTTACCGCTTCGATACCGATGAATCAATGAAAAAATACCTGAGAGCATACTTACCGACAAACAGTGTATGAGGCGATATCTGTGTGCTGTGAACTGAGAGAAAGTGCAGTGGAGGAACAGGTGCAGGAGGTAAATGAAACATGAAGCAGGAGAGCAGTTGGTAATAGATATAAAACTGGGTTGCCAACAGAAATGGGCTAAATGCATCCGGAATCTAAATCAGTTGCCAGGGCCTATCAGAAGAGAGGCAACAGCTCTACACTGGGTGAGACGTTGCTGTTGCTCGTCATCCTTAAAGAAGAGAAAATGGAGGAGACCTCCATTTAATTGAGCGACTATGTCGCTGGTAAATGAGAGTCCCGGCCTCAGTGAGAACCCTGGCCCTGCCGTGGAAGTCCCGGGGAGCTCATTATTATTCTGGGAGAGATTCAGGTCGGGAATTGTCTAGACATTATTTAAAGTGAAAATCCTTGTTTGAACTTTTTCTTTTTCTTGTCCTCTGCTCGTGTTTATCTCCTTCTCTGTATCTTCTGTTCTGTCCCTCTCTGTGACTTAATCACTTTAAAGAAAGGACTTTCGTCTACCATTCTACAACCATCTGCAGATACACGCTGACGGCAGACTTGGCTGAAAGTGATCCATCACATAAATTTCAACTAAATTTACTTAAATTGCCAAATATAGAATTAATAGGAAACGATTAAGTAAATTATTATAGCAGTTCCCTGCGCTGAATGCATAATAAGGTAAACACGATATGGTATAAATCAGGGGGCTACTTTAACAACATAATAATGTCTGAGAGCTACACATGTAGTGTTACATTTATTTACATTTTTATTAAAACCTGATCAAAATATTATTAATTATTATTAACCATGTATTCAAGGACCAGTTTTGTTCCTCCATTTTGACCAAATAAGCTTCTTTTATTTTATTTTCTGCCAAATTGTTTGTTAGTGAAAAAGAGCCACCCAGTGCTGCCTCACTGATGCCACGCCCAGCTTTCACGCCGCTTAAGTAAACTGAGTGAAATAAATCAAGAAGGTAATTATATTTAATCATCTACGCTTTTGTGACATTTTTGTTTGTCGGCGCGCCGCGGGAACTTTCTGATGCGAATTACGTGCCGTGGCTTCAAACGGTTGGGAACAGATTGGCATGAATATAGATGAGGTAGGTACGGGAGAGTAAGTAGACAGATAATTAAGTTGGTGTGTACACTGGGCTGGTACACACAGGAGGAAGGTAGACAGATATTATAAGGTATAGGGTTATCATAGTTGGTGTCTACATAACTAACATCTAATTTAACAGGTAGTTAGGTGCAGTATACAAGAAGGTATACGTAAGTACACTGTGTGTTTGGGTAGGTAAGAGTAAACAGTAGGCAGGTAGGTCGGTGGGTTGGTACATTGTATTAAGCAGGTAGATACTGTATGTAGTTTAGAGGAAACAGTGATGAGATAGGTGGAGGAGGAGAGGCAGAGCAGCAACTTCTGCTGTGCAGTTAACTAGGCCATATTGAGAAGTGTTATAAATAATAGAAGGGAACTCTTCATTGTAGATTCTCTGCCCCCACATGCTTCCCTGGTAAACATACACACCAGCATAAGCACCCTGCTTATCTGTGGCTGCCATCAGCTTCCAATCAGCCGAGGCTGAGCACAGCGGTCTGCAATAAAGGCGGGGAAACCGAGCCGTATCCGGCAAAACCCCTAACATGTTCTAACCACTTAAAGCCGATCAATGGCCCAATTAAACTGACCGTTAAAAACTAGCTGTTGGAGGAGAGTCTGAAAGGAAAACATTCACAAAGTGGCTGCATCTCATCTTTAACACAGAGAAGAGAAAACTTGTTACAAAAAAAAGACAGAGCAAAGAAGTGTGCAGAGGAAGACGAATACAAAAGAAAAGGGAGGTGGCGTTGAGGAGGTAGGAGGATATCCCTCAGTAATTATCTCCCCAGAGGAAGTGAGGAGGAGGAGGAGGAGACTCCTAGATGTAAGGAAAACAAACAACAATGAAGAAACAACTAAAGAAACAAGCAAATAACTTTGATAAGAGGGACTTAAGTAAGAGGACCGGGGATGAGAGAGAAAAGGAAGAGGAGGGAGGAAGTCACAAAGGAAATTAAAGATAAACGTGTAGCAAAAGAATGTGAAGGACATGATTGAACCACAACAGCTTCAGAAGAAAGATAATTAACTATAGGAAAAACATTCCATGTCTTCTTTAATTTACAAAACGTCAATGTATGGTAAATTAACAGGTGAATAATGTGAATTCGAAGAGAAGCCAGGCCCCGTCTGTGGCCTCATTTTAAATTAGCTTTTTTTTAACAAGCACTCTGCAGCTCTCCAAGGTTTAAAAGTCTATCTGTGGTCCATCCTGCTCCCCACATGATGACCAATGCATACTAATTCCCCACACGTCACAGCAGAAAAAAATTGTCTGGCTTCCAGGACGAATGGTTTTTCCCTGTGATTTGAAGGTCGGAGGTTTATTTGTACACACATTAAAACAATAAAATAGCCGTAAAGTCGGCACAGAGAGAGTCACGTTTGACACTGAGCCACTCCATCATTTCTGATTCATTTCATCCACAGACTCCAATGCAAATGATGATCTCATCACTGTGTATAGATCCAGGTCACACGGCGCAGCCCAAATCAGTTATTCTGACAAATGTAAAGATTGCTGTTCGGCCAGAGCCATTTTTTAATTAGACGTACAGTAGATATGTGGACAGAGAGTTATTAGCACAGAGTTATTGTCGGACGGTGCTCATGTTTATGAGGTTTCAGTTATGAATGAGGGCGAGTGCCTGAATGAGTTGCAAAACCATTTATGGTATGCATGTCCTTCCCTGAACTTTCCGTTTCTCCGACATCTGCAGCAAGCTTGCAGAGTTCAGGATAAGAAATCGTATTCTTCTGGCAACGGCTTTATAAGACTGCACAATTACTCAAGTGCACCTTTTAAAGAAATAAATTATCAACACCATTTATCTGGTCTAATCCGAAAATATTCTTCTGCCTCTGTAATGGTAAAGTGCCTCTTTTATCAATAACTGTTGCACTACATCAGACGCCAGTCCACCGTGCCCTTCATTTTAGTATTTTGAAAACAAAGAAGAAGAGAAAAAAATGACGGCCAGATTTTTAATTCCAGCTCTTGCCCATTATTCACTGTGGCTGTCTGCCAATCGGACAATCACTGCCAAGTCCCTCAGCAGTGGTTCAACACAGACGCCAATCCACCTCTTTCTTCAATAAAACTATCTTCTCTTCCGTCGGAACCGGAGGCTGGATAACTCCAACAAATAGTTATATGTACCTCTATAACTCAGTTTGAGTTCCCAACCAATTTCTTATAGTCTCTCTCCCTCTCTCTCTCCGCAACTCATTTCAACAGCGGCCGTTGTTCCAGAAGCAGGGCCTTGTCCTCCACTGATTCTTCTAACCAACATCTGCTGCACGAACCTTGCAGTGCCAATTAAATCGTGCTCATTATTATATTAACTCTCCAACTAAACATTGATGTTTTATATTATTTTTATAGCTCTGTGATAAAATCCTGTCACTCCTATAAAATACCTTGAAATGAGTGAACATAAAAACTAGGTTTGTCTGAACTAACAAATTGATTAATTTGAAATTTTGATGCATTTGACACTGTTGTTATTTACACACACTGAGGGAAAAAGTGTTTGTCGAGGCTTCAACTTCAGGACAGACTCCCGGCTGGCGTTGGACCAGACACACTGAGCGCAGGGCAGTAAATAAGTCTCTGATGACGAGCTGACTGACACAATTGCCTAATGGATTGTAAGGGACTGTAGACTCGTCGAGGACAAGCGCTTGGCCAAACTTTTAATAGGAACTCTCAATGAGTTCAAGATGCACAGTAATGGCTGGAATCAAGCAACTTTATAAAGCAAAATTTGAGTTAAAGTTTTGTGTATTTTTAGATGTTAATAATGTCATGATATATCGGCCTGCTGTCTGTTTTTGTTACAATAATGTACAAAAAAGTTTTTTAGTTGACTCTTATCCGATAATTTATATTAATTATGATAAACAGCTACCCTTTGATTAGTCTGACTACTAAATATATCTTAATATCACAGCGTTCAATGCTAAGGGGGTAGTGCCTCCGGTGTTACTACAGAGTACTGCGGACCACTGCTGAGGAACTGTATTTAGCTGCAAAGCAAGCTTTCTTTTGTAACCAGTTATGGAAAAGGAAGCAGTTTCATAAAAAAAAAAAAACATTGTACTGAATTTTACTGTTAAAATTAATGAAAAAAACATGTACAGCGCTTCAACGAGGAATGTGGAAAGTTGTAGTGCACTTCACAACAAAGCACGTTTGAAGAGGTCTCAAATGGAGCACAGTTGAAGGGGTTTGTGTTGCTACAGAGCGATGTGGAAGCAGACAACAAAAAGACAATGTGTGTCAATGAAAACTCTCAAACATGCACATTTCCAAGGGCCGCCTCTTACCGAGCTGTAGAGCATGCCTTCGCCATTCATGGCGATGTAGAAGCCACTCTTCACTCCCTGAATTGCCACCACTCTCAGACCCACAGGAATAAGATTAAACAGAGCTGTGATAGACAGAGGGAGGGAGGAAAAGGGCAGAGAGTTGTTAAAAAGAGAGGGAGACAAATGGCAGACAGACAAAAAAACGACAGGAAAAGACATTTCAGGTTTCTTTTAACTCTGTTAGATATTTCAGCCTCTGATCTGTGCTCTTCTGCTCTCTTTCAGAACTGCAGTGAGCAGAGGAGCACGTGGACAAAAGCAAAACGAAGCACCTGGGAGTAAGGAGAGATCACAAATGTTTCTGAAGATAACCTGCGATAAGGTCTAACTGAACATGAGAGAAAAAAAACAAACAGAAGAACTTTTCTCTTTCAGTCAGGATTATTTCTTTATGTCTCCTTATATATTTGTGCAAAATTTAAAGGACTTGGAACCACATAGATTTGTACATAAATCAGTTTAATTTGTATTAACCTTTTCTCTAACATTAATGTCTTTTATATATGAACACCCATTTAAAAAGAGTGAGTTAAAATTTGAGTTCGATATACAGTTGACTTTGAGAAATCATTAATATTCTACAATAAAATTACTGAAACATTACTGAAAAGACCTAGTCCATGACATTGTGCGTCATCTTCCCACTGAGCGTGTGCAGTAGCCTTTTTGCTCTCTGCTGGATAACGGTGTGATGACAGCTAGCGTTCGGCTCGCTGACTGTATTGTTGGCATGATTGTTGTGAAAGTGGCGATGGGGACTATCAGATAAAAGTGGAGAGACAAGAGATGTGCCAACACAAGTCTGTCCTCTAAGCAGATTCAATTTCACTCAATTGATATTGACACGCTGCCTCTGCTTGCTGATGGTTTCAATCTGCCCTGAGGCCACCAGTGTGGCTGATACACACTGACCTCTCCTGCACTTAGTATATACCCTTGAGAGCCTAATAGTCAGACCACGAATGCAGATTGTTGGAACATTGCGTCATTAAATATTTCCAGTCTTTCGGAGTCTGATTTGGACATGTAGAAGTCTCTCTTTAGTCATAACTCTCCGTCTCTCTTTGATACGTCTCTTTGCTCCTCTTTTTTTATTTGATTTTCATGTCTGCTGCCTTGTCAGATGAATGGCTGCGTCTCCCTGAGGTACCAAGCAGTTGTGTCGCATACCAATAAAGCCAGCGGTGTTAAAACCCAAAGCACACCCACCTATCAAAATGTATTCTGGGCTTTTTTTCTTTTATTATCTTTTATTTTTTCTTTTTATCTCCGAGCTAAAATCAACTGCTCAATGTGACTTAAAAACGAGGTAAAAGACATGACAAATCATGCTATAAATATATATATATACGTATATACACACACATATATATATATATATATATATATATATATATATATATATATATAATTAAAAACTGTTTGCAACTGTTTGCGATTCTTTACTGTTTTTTTTTACCGTACCAATTTTTTTCTCACAGTTATAATAGATTTCTGAAGATTTCTTTTTATCCAATGGCTGCACAAACTGAGTTTAAAGAATCCAATAAAGTGAAATCCTTGGAACAGCAAATCTTTCTAAGGGACAGTAATCGTCCAGAAGCAGATCCTGCGGTTGTTGGCTAAGGGATGTGGATTTGATGTGAGGGAATATTACCCCAGCAGGAAATAAAACCTGAGGTTAAAAGAAGCACAAAGCCATCATAGATTGCCAAGGCACCTCTTAAAATCCAGAGCGAACACCAAATAATAGCGTGGCTTCACCTGCTTTTTCAAACGCTTTTCCTTCTTTGAACTTGTTTTCTTTCCCCTCGTAGTCACAGAGAGCCAGTCATCAATGTGACTCCATGATAATCCCATATTGCCCATGCCTCAGACCAGGCTGATCTCTGTAAAGCCTCTGACTGAGAAGGTAATTAGTGCGGCCAATCAACTGCTGAAAATCGAATTAATAACTGCACAAAATGAAACATGGCTGTTCATTTATTGAACGCTGTTGCACCGTGAGTGCAGTTAGTGAAAGCCAATCAGGAGTACTTATGAAGTGCAGCCTGTTTTCTAGCACTTCAATCAACTCAGTGTTTATTTCCAGTATTTTTCTTTAATTAATAATAATGATCGTACTGTCTGCACGCATTTTAAATTTTATACCAATTTGTCAGAGAAAACACTGAAAGAATGTTCTTTCTGTTAAATAACATCAAGTTAACTACAAAACTCAATATTTAATATTTAATCATCAGCTGAACACTGTTGCTCTGACATTCTAATGATCGCAGCAGCTTAGGATCCTGCCGGTCACAGTTTGTTGTGGTTCAAGGTTGGGGGTAATCTATTATTCCAATAGTCCACCTGGTCAGTCAATAGTTCAGTGCAACATCTGAATACTAAAACGTCTGTGTTTATTTGTGTCGGCCATTTTTTTTTCTTCTAATGTTGTTACTGAAAACCCTTCGCTCTCTCGTCTCTGTGCATGTTTTTCTTTCCTTTTGGTTTTTGACCTGCCTTCCACTCAGACTGTCTGAGCTCCGGGCATCTTATCTTATACAAAGAATTATTCATTGGGTACAAAGAGAGAAGGTGGTATTTTTAGTTTCCCCCTGGCTAAATTATTCACCGCAATCCTCCGTTCCTTGGCTAGCGGGACTGCTTAAGAAGAAGATTACCTTGAGGCATATGGGGAAACCCTCACAGACAACAAGAACGTTGTCGGCTGACATCAGGGCACAGAGGGAGTACAGAGAGTGCACAGAAATAATGGCACATTAGAGGAATTCTGTAATTTTCCCTGCTTTGTGCATTCATCCTTTTTTGTCCTGGAGCTCCTTATGTTCTAAGTAGCCTCTGCACAAGATCTATTTCATTATAAAGTATGAAATAGCAAGTGACAGAAAGAGACTGTTCTTTCACTGCAGGACTGCTATGGTCCAGCAGCCTTGGCTCAGCTCTCCCTCATGACTGGCAGGATGGTTTTTCCAGGCAAAAAAAAAAAAAGTCAGGGCTACTTTTTCTATCTGGCCTTCTTCCAGATTGGGAGTTTTGTCATTATTGCTGTGAAGTCCACTCTTCACTAACAAACACCAATCAGCCTGAGCTGGTGTTAATGGCTGATCGGTGAACAGTAATTCTCTTCTTTGATCCTTTCCTTCCCAGAGGGAAGCGTCTCAAAGCCTCGGTATAAAATAATCTTTTTGAATCCTTCTCTCCAGCTCCTGTGGGGGCAGAAGGGGTGTTAGCAGCACTTTAGGGGTTCCACACTCTAGAGACTATTTATCCACTAGTGTTTCAGTGTAGAAAGTCAATCCTCAGTGAAATACTGCATGAAGGCTGAGGGATCACTGTGACAAGAAGGACAGACCGTGGCCACTGCATTTCCAGGTGATTGGATTTCCTTAAAACGTCTTGTTTTTCTTAATCTTTCAGCATAACGGCACTCAAATAATTGCTCTGAGTCCTTGTGGTGTGTCGTGGCAATATTGGAAGTGTGTTCACTTAGGGCTTTTTTTAGTGATAAACTCAGACTCTCACCGCCCACTGCAGAGGAAAGTCATTTCCTCTCAAGCAGGCACAGAATGTATATTCTGGTGGAACTTTCTCCCTGTCACACATTGACCAAGGCAGTGTCAGTTGATGGATAAACCGCTCCAGTCAGTTTTGACACATTAATATCAGTATTGCATAACCGGGTACAGATAAGATCGGAGGCAGTGTTGTTGAATCTGTCGAGTTGTTCCCATTTCTGAAAAGATAATCCAATTCTATGGAGGCTTCTTAAACTAATTGTGGAGCGCTTTAGGCTGCCAAATTCAGCGTCAGTTATAAAAAAATTAAAAATGATCAATTGCAGCACATAAATTGTGGTAATATACCACATTATATAAGCAACCGTGTCACTGCCAGTACATTTATGTTATGTTTCCATTCCACTCACTGTTGTCGCTGTTCTCGTCCTTGCTGCCGTCGATGGTTCCATCCGGCTGCATCTGCAGGTAGAAACCCTGCTGGCTGAACAGTCGTGTCACGATGCCTTTCAGCTGCGGCTCTGGAACGCACACACACGCAAACACACATACACACAAAGCCATGCCAAGGCCCCATCCCCACAGAGAAGAAAAGTCTCATGATCAAAAGAAAACACACTTTTCAACTTCTAATTTAACACACTCATTAAATCACATATGACCCACTTGTAATTAAATTACTCTTTTTCACATGTATTGAATATACAGTATGTAACCCAAATGTTAAATGGTGACACTATGATGTAAAAAAAACAAACAAAAAACATTAATGACAATGTTTGTTATTTTTGCTCATGAACTTTTGAATTTCCTGCATTAACATGAATCATTTGAAACAGTCTTAACAGAGGGATTAAAGTAGGAAGAATTCATGTTTTAAAAAGAGCTGACATAGGATTTTATAGTATTTCCATCCATTACAATTGCACCGGAACAACCTTCAGCTTCAAGTCTGTGACATTTGGCAGGTAGAATTAAGGATTAGCTCATGGCAGGAAAAGATTTTTGTCCGCGGGCAAGGGCAGTAGAATTAAGATAGATGAAAAAAGCTTTTGGTCATTGGCTCTTTTGCGAAGAATATATATACTATGTGTGTGTATGTGTGTGGTCTCCATGGTGGTGTTATATCCAGCAGGTATTTTTTGGTTTCTGGCTTTAGACTTTTGGCAGACATATATGTCCGGGAGTCATTGGCAAAAGGCAAAAACAAAAAACAGTGGCTGAGCTACAACTACACTCATTTTGTTTTTAATTGTGTTCAAATTAATCATATTAGCTTCATTTTTTTATTTGGCATATTTCTTGCTTTTCTTTTCCAGAGATATAAACTTTCTGTGCTTCAAAATTAAAATATTTTAAAATCATTTTACACCTGTGTACAGCCACTGACATGGTGAGGGAGCAGCACCTCCGTCAGAGCTGCTGTCATTTACCACTGCCACATTGTGTTTGGTGGTGAAGTCTAGTTCAAACTACATCTCAAAACCTAAAAAGAATTATTTGATAAGGAAATTATTATTATTATAAGGCAATAATGTTTTAATAGTGCACACATATCACTGATCAGGGCAGTCAACTACTTTTACAGCTCCCTCTGCAGGGAAGAAGGTGTGAGGTAAATGCTCTGTGTTTACCAACACAAGTCCAAAATTCGTGCATACTCTACTTATAAGTAAAAAAAAAAAACTTAATCTGTCAGAGTCGCACATATTCAGAGTAAAGAAGAGCTCTAAACAAGCGCAACATTCCTCCCCAAGGTCAAAACCAGACCAAGTGGTCGTGTGATTCAGTGCAAAGAAATACAAAATAAAAGCAATCTAATAAAAGAACGCATCTTCACACTTGGTATATGGCGAGACAGACACATTTGTCTTTACTGATTTTTCTAGGGCACTAGTTTTTGGTATATTACAGAGACACAGCACAGAGAGAGTGGCCTGTATAAAGAATGAGCGCGGTAGTGACCCCCGGCTACAGCAGGTTCACCCACGTTTGATTGTACATCGCTCTGGGCATCGATTCCCAACTCACCTAATCCTGGGGTGGGACCATCAATTCCTGGGACCAGCCCTTCATCATGCATCACAGGCAGGGTGAGGAGAATGTCTGTGTGTGTTTATGTGTATGTTTGCAGGAGCACACGTGGGCGAGCACAGCAGTAAATCACACACGTTAACTACACTTCCACAAATTAAGGCTTCAACGTGGGCTTGAGCAATTCCTGACAGCTAATCAGTTCCAATCATTAGGCAGAGAGAGTGCGCTGCGTATGTGTGTGCGTGCACACGTGGACTTGTGTATGTGCAGGTGTATGTATGTATATATGTAGAGAGAGACTTGCACATGTGCTTACAACATGTGTTCAGTCATGGTAAAATGGCTCTCGGTGGAAAGTCACTTATTTTACTTCATAGCTATACAGAAGGACAAACACACTCAGGTACGTCGACAAATGGTGTCATGACCATGAGATGCTGAATGACCACCGGTTTTGAAATCGTGTTTGACGAATGCATCATATCCATAAACACCAATACATACAACACTGTAAGAACCGCTACTACACTTACACAGTAGTACTTGACACATATTAACAGACACAGAACAGGTAGCCAGGGTAAAGGCTGGTCCGACACTGACTGACAGAGAGAATGAGGCTGAAACACCATGAGAGGAGGCAAAGACGAGAAAAAGAGAGAAAAAAGACAGAGGAGCAGCAAGGACGGTGGCCAAACAGGAGCTTCGACTTCAGGTGAGGAAATTGTTGTTTTGGTTTTTTTTTTTTTTTTTTGTTCTTTATAAAGAAAGCCACACAGTGGGAGGGATGAAAGAAAGAGAGACAGGAGAAATCGTCGGCTGTTAGACAGGTGTTGAAGCCCCCGGCCCTTCGCTCCCCCTCACAGCCTCCAGCCCTCCCAGCCACCCACATCTTCCCCAGCAACCCCGGGCCGAGGGGGGAGTCGACATGGGCTCGAGATGGGGTGGAGACGAGAAGAAACACAGCACACACGGATGGAAGCTCAGCTACTGACCTAGCCTGCAGCCCTTATGGGACACCTGTGGAGGTTTGGAGGGTGCATCTTATGAGGGGAATGAGGGGAATAGAAGGAAAAACAACAAGCTTTTAAAAAGGCAGAATTCATCAATTCCTCTTGTGTATTATTGTCTACTTATAGAAATATATGAATTCAAATATATGTCAAACATTGGTGGAAATAGACGAATGACGACCCATCTGTCTGTCTAACCTGCCAGTTTTACAGCTCACTGACTTTCTGTCAGGCCATGTCCACTGTAAGGAGTTACCTACCTGTCCATCAGTGCCTGAATGGATTATCTGTCTGTCTGTCTGCCTGTCTGTCCCTCTCTGTGCCTTTTCCGGCATTTTGTGTCTGTCTTGGCAGCGACAGTGTTTGTCTGTCTGAAGAGGCTGCACGTCGTCGTGTTTTTAATTTCGTCTGAATGGTTGGCTCTGTGTCTCTGCTGTCCCTCTTCTCTCTGAGTTAAAAAAAATAATACAAGTCGGTCTCTCCGCCTCACTTGCTGTCTGTCTCTCCGTCTGTCTGGAGGGCTTGAGAGGGTATGACTGCCATTCATTACACAGCAGAACTATCTGTAGGGGGGGGGGGGGTGACGGGCTGGCACTCGGAGAAACCATGAAAAATAAATAGAGAAGGGGTATTCCAGGGGTGAGATAAGAATGTCTCCTCCATTCTGTGTGTCTATAGGAGGAGTCGACGTGAATGGGGCTATACCCTCACCACTGCAGTGAGGCTCTCTCTGCAATAAAATTCCCCATTATAACATTTAATCTGAAAAGAGCCTTGGTGCACTGCAGTGCAACTTATCTCCCCCTCTGTACTCCAATCTGCATTAATATTGAATTAGGGGGACTCTTTTTTAAAACGTGTTCACTGTTTGTGAGCACACGTACTGTTTGAGTACTGATGAATATCAGAGAGATTATCAAAGGCCTGTGAAGACGGCGGTGGAGGGAAACAGGAGCATCAATATCGTTCAGGGTAATTGATTATTCTGATCAGAGCAGCATCACAAGAATTAATGGGGGTAACGTCACCGCATGTAGACATCATCCTACAGCAGCCTGCTCTGTGTGGGAAGCCTCGAGGCTACACTGACAACAACACCTAATGGAACAGGTGGATTTTACGCACCGCGGAGAAAATCTATCCTCTCCTCCGGTTCCGAGCCCTCGACTGCAGTATAATACCTCCTCTGCTGCTCTAAAGAGGGGCGGGGTGGGAGATGCGGGGGGAAACCGCGTCCATTTACGCACACGCAACACACATCAGTTTAAAAAAAAAAAAAGACTCGACAGCACTGACCTGGTCGCCTCCGAACTGGTCTTTTCTTGCCACTGCAGAAACGGACTTTGCTGAAAACCCCCAAGAAATGCCTCTCGCATAGAGAGCGAGGGTCTTTGCTGGGGCTGGGGCGACGCTTCGAAGTGGAGACCCGGTCGCTGTTCGATTCCCTCGCCTGACGTTTCTGACGGATCAGGGAGCTGGCGATCGCAGCCATCTCCCCGAACCGAGACTGTGAAAACCCCGAGAGTCTAGTTCGGCAGTCTGGTGCGGGTTTTGGCGCAGCTGCTTATGTCTTGGCGTGAAGCGCAACCAAAGCGTCTGTTCTGGTCCTTTTGAGCCACGAGTGTTTTTCACCCAAATGTCATCCTGATCATGAAACCGTCAGAGTTCACAGCTTCATTCCTGCGCCGTCAGGTAGCATCCTCTTCGGGGAGGGGTGGCAGGGAGGGTGTTAAGTTTGCGCTGGTAGAAATCAACAGCCACTAACCCCAGCCTATGAGGGAATCACATGTGCGTCTGAGCCCGCCGAGCTCCACATATCAGAGGTGGAAAATAAGCAACAGTGTTAGTGTAAGTTGATTCAGCACCGCTTCAGTGGACAGCTCCAGGTACTCCAGGTGAACAGCGCCGTGTCTCAGCTGCCTCAGCAGCCTCCTCACTGGCTTCCTGACGCCTTTACATTACACTCGCATCAACCCAGATCCATCCATAACACGGTCGTGTGTAGCAGGAGAATGAATCCCAACTTTTTTTTTTCTTCCCCAATTATTCAGCCCACAGGATGAATGGCATGGTGCATCGTTGATCTGGATGTCCAAATGTCCGAGTTCAGTCTCCTCCGCTTCCGACGACGGCAACAAAAGCAGCCAGGGGGGAAATCGGTAGCAGAGGTTTCTGTGCAAGGATGCTGCAGAGATGTGATTTAAATCTCCAGTGAGGGATTCACGTCTGGAATGCAACAATTAGTTGACGATGTGGCCGCCGGAGTTCTGTTTGTTGTAGTTCACAAATGATTTTTTTTTTAAAAAAGGCTTTGCAAATTCTCTGCTCCAGTCTTGAATGGATGCTGTCGGTTTGTAACAGTGCCGACAGCTGGAGTTAACTGTCACGGTCCATGGGGTTCTCTTTCTCTCTCTCTCTCTCTTTCCCCCTTTTTGTCGCTCTCTCTCTCTCCCTTCTTCCCTCCCTCCCTGTCTTTATCTCTCTCTCTTTCACACACACACACACGCCACACACGTACACTTGCTCTCACTTTCTCTCTGTTTCCCTAGCACACACTACTCTCTCTCTCTCTCTCTCTCTCTCTCCTTCTCCAACTCTTCTAACGCAATCATACGTGATCGTATTAGGAATTCTCATGGGCGATATAAGAGGAATGATAAATGATCACAGACACCCCGATAAAAAAAAAAAATTGAATAAAACATGTTGTACAACAGGAGAGGACATGTAACTGGCCTGATGGATGTTTGTAAAGATGAAGGATTGTGACTTTGGGCCTTTTGTCCTATTTAGATGTTCACCCACTAAAATCTTAGATGCAAAAAGGAGCAGATGAAATATCATATCATATTATAACACATTTTGGCCGTAATAATCATTAGGCCTGTTTAAATATGTAACAGAGATAATGAGCACAGCTTAAAGGTATAGTACAAGGGGACGTCTCAGATGGTAAAGCTTAAAATCATTTAAAAATTAAAGCTATGTATCTCAGATTTTTTTTTTTTAAATATGAGCAGATTTTAAGGCCAAAAAATTATTTAAAATCATATTGTGGGTGCAAGATGCCCTCTGTCCGGTAGAAGACCAAGACATTTTGGAGGTGTACAGCTCCATATAACATTTAAGATCTTTATTATATACAGTATATTGGGTTTTAAATTAATAAATCATTTCATCAAATTATATGCAGGTGGTAAAGGAAGTGATGTATGTGCCACAACACTGCAGAAATTACTTTATATTTCCTAAAGGAACACCTCGACATACGTGTACGACTGCATCTGCAACAGGTATCAACAGAAATCAACAGTGATGCTGGCCGACCGACCACAGCGTAGGTGCAACGTAAAGAAAGTACAGGTGCTGCATGCACATTTGAGACAATTATAAGACCCAGCATCAGCATAATATTTCTGGGATTAGAAACGCTGTTCACACTGAAACTGCTGTTGAATTCAGTGCTTGGTGATGAATACAAATGTGTTTCTGCCACAGAACATCACATCTGGTGACTGGTGTGAGCAAACTGCTCTGTTTTCACCACAGCTGGAGTACACACACACGACATGTGTATGCATGTGTGAGCGAGAGAGAGAGAGAGTAGGCATGTGTCCCATTTCCTGAAGGCATGCCTTAAGATTCATGTCTATTATTGAAATAATGTGGAGGTGCAGAAGAACTCTCTCTCTCTCTCTCCCTCTCTCTCTCTTGCTCTCACACAAACAGACACACACACACACACACACACAGCTGAGAACACGTGAGCAGCCAACAGCACAGCCAACCGCTCCTTCTCCCCTGACAAAACATGAAACATTTAAAAGCTTATTTTTTCACCTCAGATTCTTTTGACAGTATGACAGAGAACACGGGGGTATGGTTTAGGATTTTCTCCTCTTGCAGCACAAACACCAACGTGATTTAACAAGCGTTTAATACTCTAGCTCTGTGTGTGATAAAGGTTGCCATTCACACTGAGTTTCTAGAAAATTGTAAAAAAAACAACTAAATATAACCCTGCAGCATGTATAAAAGCCACCATACAATATTCATCCCTCCAGCCCGTACAGTTTGCAGGAATACAAAAGTGTTCGTCCTGCCTGTGGTCTCTCATATGACATGAGACTGGGAGGCACTTTGAGGCATCCAGAGTCATAAGACTCAGCCTCTGTCAGACAAAGATAAAGTATTCCCTAATGAGGTTCTCCCATCCATCCATCCATCCGACCATCCATCCATCCAGCTTCTACCACAGCTCACAATTGATGCTCACGTCACTCCAGCAGAGATATGGCCACAAGTGAAAAGACGCTGCTGCAGACAGTAATGTGTGACAACCATTTAAATGATACACTAAAATAGATTTCACATCGAAGGAGTTCGTTGTAGCAGACTATTATCAGACTACTATTCCATGTGAAACACCTTAAAACAAGGTTTGAAAATTAAACCAAAAGCTGTCAAAGCCAACAGACGCGCTTTATTGCATAGGAATATGTGCAACTCTGCTGCTCTCTTGTGGCCACACGAGTTAACTGCCGTGCTCAAGACAGAAACTGACTCCAGTCTCGGGTGTTGAATGTCTCAGTGCGTCCTTGAGATTCACAAAAATTTGGAGAATTTCAAAAGATGACAGATCCGGTAATTCCTGGATAACCTTGAAAACTGCATCATACCGGTTTTTGCCGCATTACAATCCCGGTTCATGTTACCTCTTGGCAATATACTGTATGCCTCCCTTGTGGTAAACTAGTGCTTACTTACTGCCTCCAGTCATTTCAAATCAGGCTGCCCTTTCTGCTCTGACCTTTATAATAAATTTCAACCAGAGGTGTGTGAAAATCTAAAAATGATGTAAGGCCTGTTTAACAACAACAACAACAACCATGAAGTGATCACAAAGTCACCTAAACCAGCTTGTTTTTTTTTCATTCTGTCTGTCCTTTTTTTGTTTATCCTTTTTTTTTAGGTAAATCAATATAATATAATGTAAAACAGTGCTAACACTGGCTGTTGCCATATTGTGTAAATGTAAATTGAGTTAACTGCGTCGTGACAAAGAGTAAAACATGTATATGAGTATATGAGCCAGACATCTTCCACTGAAAAAGTTTCAGGTATTAAGGGGTTTTCTTTTGTTTTTTGGTCTGTAGGAAGGAGCTGACTCACAAAGTTTGGACTGAGTTTCATGTAAGTGAACAGTGATGCAGGGAAAGGACTGGTTGTGCTTTATATCAGTGTGATCCCAGTGTGCATGCTGCTTTTGGTCCAACTATCTCAGAGGAATCAACTGTGCTTAATGGAGTTTCTAATTATCTGCCCTGAATTTGAAAGCTGCTCCAGCTGACACTCTGAGAGATATTACAAACTGCATGTGATGGAAAAGAGAGAAACGGTGTTTCAATCTTCCTCCGAATGCACAGGTTAGTTTTTAATGTGGCAACATACAGGTGAAAAAAAAAATGGTGGTGCAAGACTGAATAGAAAAAAAGTTAGTTTGAAAGTTGTGAAAAAGGTGGGATTAGATAATCTGTTGATTCTTTGTAAATTTACATGTTGAATGAAAGGTGTAAGAGAAGGAAACAGAACAGATGGTTTTGATGGATTAAAAAACAAGGAAAGATAACAGTGCAAAAAATCTTTAAAAATGTTTTTATCCTACTTCTAAACCACAAGAAAGCATTCAAGCAAGAGAAGGACACAAACAATAATACAGTGTTACAATACAAAGGTACAGGAAATAATTTACTGCTAAAGGCTGCTCTATGTCAGATGGATGGATGGAACTGATCTTGATGATCAGTAAGATACTGCCAGTATGAAGTAGAAGGACAACACACAAGTACAAGAAGAATGTATGTTTGGATGAGACCATGTGAAGCTGCAAGTTACTTCAAGAAGTTAGACACTAATAAAAGTCATAATTGTAGCAGTCGTATCAGAAAGTCTTGTTTAACACACAAAATGAAGGAGAAAAAAGAGATAAAAAGGAGCAAGAAGAAAAGTCAGTAACAAAAAGAAGCAACAACAGGAAGAGTTAATACAACATGTCTAAAGGCCAACTACCATTAAAAATAAACTACAATCAAGTACTTTTGGAGACTTTTGGAAGTATCCAATACTAATATGTATTCTAAAACTAATTTAAGCCCAAAATGTTACACTGCAAGCCAACTATTTAGGCACATTGCTGCTTAAAACAATTCGGGTTTTGACAATAAATGATATGTGTATGACTGTAAGATGTTAAGACGTGAAAGAAGAAGCACAAAGGACAATAACGCATCATCTTTGAAGGACAAGGATTAGTTCGGTAAAGTACTAAGGTACTTTTAAAACTCATTGTGAACTCTGTGTCTGCAAGTGAAACCTGTGGTGTCACCACACTCGAGAGAAATGTGGTTTAAAAAAGCAAAAAATACCAACAAGAAAAGTTTGGGAGCCTGTGTCATGCGTCGCAATTGTGCTGTGTCGCTGTCCATGGTGCTGGACGCAGCTGGACGCAGCTTGTTTGGGGCCCTACAAACGAGGCTTTCTTTCCCAGGCCCCTAAAGTTTAATGACTTGGTCCCTGCATTGTCCCATTTTTGGCCCGCTACGGATGCAGCACTGGAACACTGTCGCCTACAGATTCAGCTCGGTCTGGTCATCTGGAGAGCCTCACTCCTCGCTGGACTAGTGCGGCTTGTTAATGACTGCCAGCAGCTATAACCGCGACATGCCGAGGACTGCACACAAAACTCGGGACAGATGCGAGGGACCACAAGGGGGGAGAGAGACACTCTCTCCACTGCAGACTCGAAAGATGGTACTCACACATCCAACGAGCGATGAAGCCACTCACCTCTTTCTCCTCTCCCCTCCTTTCTCCTTTTTTTATTCTTTCTTTTTTTTAATCACTCAAAGGGGGAAAGCATGCAAAGGTAGCCTATGAAGCTATGCTGCTATGTGTCAGTCTCCTCACCGTTGGTGATAGTGGTCGACTTCGATCGTTGTCCACAGAAACACTGCAGCATATGCGCTCCTTTCTGAAGGAATGGCCTCAGAATCCTCATTGATTTGGGTTGATGAGAGCCTTCCTCAATCCAAACAATCGGACAACGCTATCACAACACAGCAGGGTCAGGCAGCATAGCGTAGCCGGCCAGCCTCTCTCTCTCCTTCTCTCTCTCTCTGCCTCTCTCTCTCTCCTTCTCTCTCTCTCTCTGCCTCTCTCTCTCTCGTTCGGTTCACAGCAGCCCTCAAAACGCCGGAAGGGCACAGTCTGCAGGACAAATTACGCTAAAACGAGGCATCTTGAGTGATTCCCCCCTGCACCCTCTCTCCCCCCTCTCTCTCCCTCTCTCTCTCTCTCCTCTTCTTGTCCAGCTCTTGGTCAATCCACACACTCCACAACGCACCACTCTCCTCTTCGGCAGTCAACGCAAGGGCGTTACATTGTGCTCCTAATTGCACACCTCATTCCCTCACACACCTCTGTCTCCGCATCTTTCCCACCAGCCCAGCTATAGTGGGAGAAAATAAAGGACAAAGCCAGTGCGGGGGGGACTGTGCAGCATGAACGCCAAAGTTGAAGTGCAGGGGTATAAAAGTGGCATCAGGCCGGCCGTCACTAAGGTAATGCGGAGATGATGACATTTTGTTGCTGCAAACATTTCTGGACGCCGAAACCAAACCAGTGTTGTCTTGTTGAATAGCCACTTGTCACAGAGTGAAGCATCTGAACTCAGTGGTTTACTGTGACGCTGCGGTTCTGTGATGTAATCACCGTAGTTAAAAGAAAAGAAATGGAAGAGAGAAAAAATAAGAAAGGAAAGAAAAGGTTATTATTTTATACTGACATCTGCTTCACCGTCAAACATGACGCCAGAGCACGTGTAGGCCTACTGACTTATATAAAGCGGTCACGTGATTTGATGACAAGTCAATAAAGTTGGATGATGTCAGTGGGAAAGGAAGTTTTTTTTTTAAGTTTACGTCACCGTGCACAAGCAGACAACCATACCACCTGATATCCTTAACATTAAACTGGTCAACTTTGTTATTAAGACTATTGCTTTGTTTGTTTTATTTTTGTACAAAATTATTTTACTGTTTTGAGTTTTATAAACAATGCTCATTGTAAAACGAGTAACTGGTAGAGAACTGAGAAATGAGTTGAAAATAAATCTATAAAGTAACAGTAAAATATAATTTTAATTTTGAAATAAAAATACATTTTATTAATACCTCGATTAATCTTCAATGGTGTTTTTTAATTTCTGTGTAAACTGTTTTTTCACTGCTCTGAGACCAGAATCCAGACAATACAATGTGCATTTCTCTACTGTAGGGGGAGCCATGATATCAGTGAATTAGTAAAAAAAAAAACAGCGTCGGATTTGTTTTCACCAAAATATAATTGACCATGACATATACTGCAGCACTAATATTACACAATGCTGCATTTTTACTTTTTCACATTTTTTTCTATGCACTATTCTGAAACTTATTTGCCCTATGAGGGTAAGTTTTCTGTTTAGATATTCCCAATCATGTTTAGTTCATTCATTCATATATATAGATTTGAAAACGTGGAAACAAGACAAGGTTAGGAAGGAGCAAAGTCAGTAGAAGTGAGTGAGGGAGTTGGCATTAAACCCACAGTCACAGATACAGTGGCAGTGCTGTATAATCAGCTTCCACAGTTCTGTCCTGCTGCAGAATAATCCCCTATAGAACAACAATAAAGCACTGTGAAAAAGGGAAGGCTTCAGCACAGGGGATACACAGACGAACCGCTGTATTGACTAAACATACATCCAAGCAAAACTAATAACATTTCAGTTCACTTGAACCCATCAAAAAAATAATACTATTGACTGTCCAAGAACACGTTGTGATTGCAGAATAGTTTTATCTGATTACGTGGTAGTAACCTGCACAGCCACCGCATTGTTATTGTTATTGTTATTGTAGACACCGGTGTGTGTTCATATGTTCTCAGTGGAACATACTGTACGTTTGCTATGAGAAGTCACCACTGAGGTTATCTGTGCTGTGTTTTTACCTCAGATTTTATTTTTGACACAATCTTTACCATGTTTTAGACAAAAATATACATAGATAGATAGATAGATAGATAGATAGATAGATAGATAGATTAACTCAACATACTTTTTATACACGTGATACATTTCAGTACTGATTAATTGCCTATAGCTCTATGGCACAATATGATTGTTTTACACTGTAGTATATGATCACTACTACAGTTTTTTTTACACTGTAGTATATGATCACTACTACATACTATAGAATTATATGTACATATTTCTTTATTATTTTAATTGTTCATGATCTAAGCACGCTCTTCATACCCAGGTAGACCCTGATCTATGATTGTGAAGACATGTTTAAACAAAAACAAATTTAAATAAAATGATCCGTCAATGAGGTTTCACCTGTTATGATTTTCGGGTACATGGACAACAGCCTCTGCAGAGAAGGTGACCCTTGAATGTGTGGAATACAGTAGAAACATACAGTATGATTATAACAGCACTGGACCACTGATGATGGCGGCCACCATTTGCTGAAAGGCCAGAAAGCATTCTCATATTCTGCAAAGCAAAAGCAAACTCTGCATCGCACTGCAGAAACAGTCACGGTTGCATTAAAGTGATGCTGCCAACAAACCGGTACAAAATGACAAGTGTGTAAACTTGAGGCTGGGGATTCAGTGCGAGTAAGACAACACAGCAACAAGATACGTGTCACAGATAACGTCAGGCCAGCAGAGGTTAACAGCCAGAGTAAAAAGGCAAGACTCTTTTGTTATCAGTGCAACCTGCATGCATTGGGGCATGACCGAATTACATTACATGTTACATTATGGCCATTTATTACTGCATACATGTTTAATGTTGAATCCATCCAAAAAATGCCATCTGATCAAAACGTTCCAAGACAGGTGTGATTTGTGATCAAAACACAACAATTTTTTTTAAGTAGTAATAAAGTATAAAAGCTGCATAACAGGTTTTAATCTACAGTATTTCCATCAGATTTTTTTTTATAAAATGACATTTGAATTTCAGTGCAAATAAGGCAACAAGCAGGTTATGATGTGGATGGAAGAATTGTACAAAGAAAGAATTATCTGATGGAAATGTCACTTGTTAATGTGTTCATAAAAATAAGATGAAAGATATGCAAAGAGCTCTGTTGTTATCATAGAGATTTATAAATAAAGTAAAGATTAAGAAAGATAATTTGTCTTAGAACTTTTTGACTTGGCCTTTACTGCTGCTATTAATGCAAGGCAGATGTAAACCAGAACGAGAATCTCTCAGGCCACTTATGACCACTGAGTAGGTTTTATACACTCCCTGTCTGGAAATATGTAGTAAATAGATAAATAGATAGTAAAAAAAAAATATTAGAGACTGCTATGCAGCAATAATTTGAGAATTTTAGAAACGTTATATTTTCTAAGAGGGAAAGGTGGCAGTGGTGTATGTTCTAGCGGCCAAATCTGACTCTTTGCCAGGAGAATAATAGCTGGCTAAAGATAAAAGAAATTAGGTAGATAACTAAAGATATCTATTTTTTTTAATACAATAAACATATGCTATAAGATATTATATTAAAAAAAGGACATAAGCCCTAAAGAATTTGAAAATGTAAACAGAAGAAATGGCCAGACATAACTCGCTGCATGCTGGTACAGGAATTTTTAACGGACATTGCAGTTCACAAGTGTGTAGACCTCAGCCCACTGTAAAAAGACCAATGAAAAGCTCAGAAATAACTGAAACAGCCGTTATATGTCAATGCTGTAAATAAGTGGACGATGGGAAATTAAACGGTTCAGATTGGTGTGGAGTGTGTATCTGGGAAAGATTGTGAGAAGAAAAAGAAAGTGAAATGTGAACCAGCGGCAGCACGTGAGTGTCAATGTAACAATGACAACGTCTCAATGATAAACATGTCAAGAAACAGAAGAAATACCAGCTTGTCCTGTGGGTGGAAAGTCCTAAAATATTCAGTAACAACAGAGTTAATTTCTTGAGTTCAATCAACTGATTAGTAGCTAACTGATAAACCACTATCTATTCACTCCTGCCCCCAGTAAGACTGGACTCTAACAACCTTCCAACAACTGCTGCTATTTTTGAACTGACAAAAATAACATTTCCTTTCCATTATGCACCGCTTCACACAAGGTCAGAAAAAAATATCTGTAAAATATTTGCCATCCTTTTTAATACGTCATAGAAAGGTTTTTGAAACAGCAAGATAAATATATTGCTTGATGTTGTGTCTGGTACATATACATGTACTGCAATTACAGAGACTAAGACAAAACTCAAATTATGAGTTTTTCTTTCTTTTTTTTAGCCAAGAATTTAAAAAAGAATTAATAAGTTGTTAACATTTAGGCTACATTGAAAGGTTAGATTTACTCCAATGTTTTTATCAAATGTCAAATTACTAAAATTGAATACATAACAATATGTAAAAATAATATAACATACTCGTCATTTTTGACAAGTCCGATGATTTTAACTTGAATTGGTTAAATAAAGAAATGTTTCATAATGAAAAAACACAGATTATACTAATATTTATATTTCCTACTCAACCATGTTTCCGACCATCAATCACTGCGGTTCAGGCTCTTTTCTTTAAAGAAACATTTAAAACTATAAAAAATCATTTAAAATCAGTGTTGTCATTAAAGAGCCAATGAGAGACAAAATCACAAAACACTGAAAACTAAATATAAACCAATCACGTTGATGTAAATTGTGTTGTTTGACCACCACGTCCTGTGACACTGTTTTGACTAATGTGAGTGGTCAGCACTGTTCCCATGTTTAAGTGCACATATGGCATAAAAAAAGTTTGACTGAGCAGAAGTGAAAGTAAAGACCCGCAAGGTCCTGTGAGATGATGAATCATGATGCCAATACACCCCACCTGTCCTGAAATACAATACAAGGACAGAAACACTGTGCTGCGCTCAGAAGTACTAACAGTGGAACATCAGAGTCCAGTGACGTCAAAAGGATGGGGCTTTGTTATCATTAATGTTCAACTTCTCTGAACGTATTTGGAACAATCCTGATTTTTCCATTGTTTTAAATGTCATAAAATTGCTCATGTAAACAAATATATTCTTTTGAGAGTTTACTTAACCGCCACAATAGGAACTATTATCGATTTTCTAAATTAAAACCATATTATATCTACTATTATTGGAGGTCAATGGAATTAATACACACACAGCAAAAAGCCTAAGCCTTTGTCAAGACATTAAATAAGTTTTTTTTTTTAAAAAAGTCATAGCCCTCAGAGAAAAGTCACTTTGACAACACATGGTGTCAACTGTATAATCCATATGTGCACCGGCCACTTCCCTCTATATTCTGCACTCAAGTGTCTTTGCCTTCCTGCGAACTTCCACTAAAAACAGGACAGGGCGACCCTGAGGTTATCCTACTTTAACAAGGGCACCTTATCCAAATATATTTTAAGTGGCAGGATGTGCTTATTTGTGCTTTATAGCCTCAAGGATCCTTAATCTGCCCACCAAGGCTGCCAACACACACCCCACATGCTGTTTGTGTACTTTTTATTCCGAGCTGTGCAGTGCAGTGTAACCATGAGATCATGTGGCTCTTAAAAATGCCTCTAAATAGCCCTTTACTGGCATTGTTGAAAGGTCTTGTCAACTACACAACCAGAAATGAGGGCTGGGGCCACGCTCTCACAGCTGCAGTTCACATTCTTCTCACAGAAAAGAAGTGGAGAGCCAGCAGTTTCTAGGCTGAACCAGCTGACAGCACTGGCGGAGTAAAGGAAAGATTCCAGGGACTTCAGTCATTTATACAGTGGCGTTGGAAACAGTGTCGAGGCCGGTGTTTAAAGTTGGGATCAAACCTAATCACATGCATTT